ATTCTTCATGTATAAGTCCATCCCTATTGGTGTGTGACCTTGTAGGCCCATTCGCAGTGGCAGTAGCCTCGAGAACCATTCCCGATCTACAAGTCATGGTTAGCCTCTAGCAAGACGCCATGACCACCCACGTTGAATTGAGTTAGAGGTGATCTAACCAAGGCAATAACAGCTCGAGTTCTGATCCTTTATCTCACGATATCATGTGTTGAACAAGGGCATGGTTTGAGCCACCCTTCAAGTTCAACTGCTTTCTCGTCTTGGCAAATCGACTAATAAAATAGATGGAACTTCATCTATAGCGTGACCACGCGTTTTCACAGTCCGATTTCCACGAGAGGGCCCAGCGATATCTCTCCTATTGAGGAGGTGACAAATCCCATATTGCATGTCTATTATCTCTATATGATTCGTGAACGTATCTGATCAACGCCGTTATAATCATCTGGTTAAAGACGACGTTTGACGCAGTCAAGACACGCCACTCCTCATATCAGATACTCTAGACATCTCAGGTCTAAGGATCCCAGAACGAACCGCTGTATGAGATTCAAGTCATGATCTGTCCATGTGATAATCTCATGCGGGTCAACCAGTCACTTGTTCACAACGAGTACCCATGATTGTGACATGCATTCAATGCATCGATCACACCTCATGCTAGTCTTAATTCATCATTGTTCCCATAATGATAACTGACCAGGGTGTTTAGAATCATTCTATAATGATTCAAGGATGCCGAAATATAATAAACATGCCAATCATATAACGGGAATGTAATGCATTCATAAACCAATGAATCAATACAAAGTCAAAGTGTCATATCACGGATCATCCTAGAGCATTACAACCGACAATCTCCCACTATGCTCTATGATTTATCCTACAAGCATCTAATCCCCATACCCTTAACATGACCATCATGTTTTGACGAAGTGATGGGCTTCGTCATCGGGTCGGCAATATTATCATCTGTCGACACTCTGCTTATCTTCACGTCTCCTCTGTCGATGATTTCTCTGATTATGTGAAATCGCCTGAGTATGTGTTTAGATCTTTGGTGTGACCGGGGTTCCTTAGCTTGCGCAATCGCACCATTGTTGTCACAATACAACTCAATGGGATATGCAATGCTAGGAATGACGCCCAGGTCTCCCATGAATTTCCTGATCCAAACAGCTTCCTTAGCTGCATCCGATGCTGCTATGTACTCGGCTTCTGTAGTCGAATCTGCCACGGTTGGCTGTTTGGAACTCTTCCAACTGATAGCCCCACCGTTCAGGCAGAAAACATAACCTGACTGCGATCTGAAGTCATCTCTGTCGGTTTGGAAACTAGCATCGGTATAACCACTTATAGCGACCTCGTCTTCCAATCCGCCATACACCAAGAACAAATCCTAAGTCCTTCTCAAGTACTTAAGGATGTTCTTGACCGCAATCCAGTGAGCCTCACATGGTGTAGACTGATATCTACTAGTCATACTCAATGCATATGATACATCCGGACGAGTGTTGTGTACTCGCCCAGATGTATCATATGCATTAAGCATGACTAGTAGATATCAGTCTACACCAGGTGAGGCTCACTGGATTGCGGTCAAGAACATCCTTAAGTACTTGAGAAGGACTAATGATTTGTTCTTGGTGTATGGCGGATTGGACCACTGCGCTCCCACTGACCTTCTTGTAAACGCATGGCTCATCTTCGTTTTGCAGGAAGCCAAACATTTTGACTGCCTCGTCAGATCGAAGATTCCAGCTCCTCGAAGCCTGCTTCAGTCCATAAATGGATCTCTGAAGCTTACACACCTTCCTCGGACTCTTAGGATCGA